CTTTGCTTCAACTGTCACAGCTAAGGCAGTTGTGTCTGTCCGTGTTTTACTAGAGAAACAGATACAACACAAGACATACACATGTATAAAAAATTACAAATTTGTCTTACGACGGTCAGCCACACGGAGCTGGATGAGGAAGCAGGCAGAGGGCGTCTGCACACCGGAGGTTGAGGGGTCCAGTCTGAGGCCTGGAGCTCCCTGCAGTGCGCGTGCAGGCTGGTAGCAGAAGGCCGATGCAGCTGCAGTGCAAGGCTGAAGGGTCCACTCTGGGAGCCGACGAGTCTGCGCCAGAAGGCTGGGCCGTCTGCGCTGGAAGCCGGGGGATGCTGTCCGAGCTGCAGGCGAAGACTGGAGCTCCTCCGAAGAGCAGAAGCGGACCTGTCTCTCCTCGTCTCCCCCTCATACCGTCCAGGCAACACCCGCCCTGAGGTGGGTCTTTTACACCCTCGGGTGTGGAATTGCTGAGCCAGTGCAGTTAAGCTTCTTTTAACTAAACTTCTAAAATTGACACAATCAACCAACCACTACAGCAGCCTTCACACATGAGAACTGCGTGTTCCATGCACGGGTATCACACTAGTAGCATATCTGTTTTGTTTTCCTGTTCTTTTCAGCAGGGCACAGCTGACATCTCTTTGGTTTTCCTGTTGCCTTAGTAGGTCTTTGGGATGCCGTGCCTACCTGTTCACCTGTCAGCTCACCAGGGTGCTTCACAAGTTTTTTGCGTAGTTCCCTGGGCAGAACCATTTTGTGTTTCCTCTGCTGTGAATGATCTCTTATGAGTTCCAGTCCCATCCTCTAAGAAGGTTTCTCCATGATACTTTGCACGTGCTATTTTCTCACACCACACATGTTTAGGATCAAGTAAAACGCAACCATTGGCCAATGCTTTGTGTTTCAAGTGACATCACAGTTGCTGCGGAGCTCATCATCAACATCTCCACCTTTGGTTTTGTTGTGGAAAGTCTCCATCTCAGGCTTCCATTTTGTTGAGGTTTCCCTATCGGTATTTCCGGCAGGGAGCAGTGTTGACAGCAGTACCAGTTTGTTTTTCTTTGCCGTATATGAGGCCAGTGTCCTACCTTTCTGAAATCCAGAGATGGTACTATACGATTCTCTGCTTTGAAATTGCGGCATTTCATTTGGAGTTTCTGCTTTCTTCCTGTGTACAGTTCCTGCGCGGGTCACCCTGTGCGGTCAGCAAATGTAACATCAGTTGGAAGCTGGTGACCAAGTGTCAGAGGTAACATTCCAAGTAGTGTGGGAGAGGGGAGCGAGGAGCCTGTGCAAACGTCCCGTGGCTCATGACTACACAAATAAGGACCTGAGGGCTGAGTTCCAGGACAGATTTCTAAATTGAAAGCATGATACGTCTGTGCATCTACACAGGAATGAATTTTTATGCCATATTTTGAGGGTTTTTTTGGAATATACTGCCTGAAGCTTCATCAACCATAAAATGCTACAACATGTTCATCAAGAATCATGTATTCAGATGGTGTCTCACACCGTGAGCAGATAGCAGCCTGACTATCAGATCTTTTTCTTTCTTGGCTGGTGGTTTTGTCTTCAAACGTCAGGCAATTTTGAAGGAAACTAAATCTCCTCAGTGTCATCGTTGTACCAACCTCAAGCCCATGAGGTTACCATGAGAAAGCCCTGCAAAAGTACAGCAGACCTATGAATGCTTTCAGTTCAGCTAGTGAGGTGTCAAAATAAATACATTTTTAGTATGGCTATTGGTGCATATAGAAGTTTTCACTTACACTTCAGCATTTGTGTATTTCACAATATCTGGTAGCATTTTGTCTGTTACAAACAAGTTCCAACATTGAATGGCAGTGCTGACATTCCATCCAATAGGTTTCACCCCTGCCGAGATCCTCACTGTATTTTTGGACCTAGTTCTAACATTGGCTTGTTCCATTTGGTTGTGTGACGGTTCGGTACCATTTCTGCTAGTCAAATATGCACTGACATTGCTGTCTTCTTCATCTCAGTCAAGGAGGTCTGCATTTTCATCTATATCAGTCGATCCTTGCTTACTTTCACTGTGATACTTCTACCAGAAAAATCAAAAGAAAACTTTAAAACAAATCCTAAATGCACAGAAATTTAGCAGTGAGCACTTCACGGGTAAAACTCACCTGTTGCTGCTTTGGATGTTCTGTGCACACCTTGCCATTCACCTGCCAAGTGGGTGAATGCACAGACAGGTTCCTCTTTTCGCAAGGCACGGCTACTGTTACACCCACTTTCCATTTTGGTGAAACACAGAATAAAAGAGCAATGTGAGTGTATTAATACCCTCTGTGGTGGTCAGGTAAACCTATGCGGAACCTGTAAGATGGACCATTATGTAGTTTAACACCTTTGCACACAGGCACACACCTTGCCTTTCATCTTACCGAGTGGGTAAACGTGAAGAATTCCTGTATCCCCCAGGCACAGCTGCCGAGATGCACAGCTGGCTACTGTTACACTCAAGTACAAATTTACAGTAGAAAAGTGCGGGATGGGTTGTTGTAACCTAGTGTTATGCGCTTGCTGTTAATTAAAGAGGCCATCTTTCCTCCAACATGTTTTTGTCAAAAATCAGATGGCTGTAGGTGCCTGGGTTTGTTCTGTATCTTCTCTTCTGTGCCATCGGCTACAGGTCTGTTTCTGCACCCGTACAATGTTGTGTTGTTACCGAAGCTTTGTAGTACAATTTCAAGCTGGTTATTGCTCTTTTTCCTCATGACTCCTTTGGCTCTTCTGGGTTTTTTGTGCTTCCATATGAATTTTAGGGTTATTTTTTTCTAGTTTCGTGAAGAATATTGTTGATATTTTTATAGAAATCACACTGAATAGGGGCTGGGGATATAGCTCAGTGGCATAAGCGCCTGCCTGTCAAGCGCAAGGTCGTGAGTTCGATCCCCGGTACTGCAAAAAAAAAAAAAAAAAAACACCAACATTGAATCTATAGGTCACTTTTGGTAATGTGCTGTACCTATTTTTTTTACTTGTTTTTTAATTGTTGAGTTGTAAGAAGTTTTATATTTCTATTAAAGTCTCAGATGCATGATTTGCAAGTATGTTCTCTGTTCTTTGAATTGGCTTTTCATTTTCTTTTTTTACCCACATTTTCATTAGTACATATTAGTTATACAGGTCATGTGGGTTTCATTTTAGCAAATTCATATGTGCATATAACATGTCTTTGTCATCCCCCCACCCCCTGCTTGCCCATCCTCCTGGTTTCACACGTTTGGAGGCTGCTCGGCATGTATTTGGATCATGTTCGTTACCCTTGGCTTTTCATTTGCTTTGTCATACCCTTTGAAGCACAAATGTGTTTAATTTCCATGGAGTCCAGTTTATGGTTTTTTCTTTTGTCACTTGTGCTTTTGGTGCTCTAGGAACCTTGCCGAGACCAAGATAGCACAGATTTAGTCATATGCTTTCTTTTATACCCTTAATCTTGTAACTCATTTTAGCTTCCCCGGTGTCTGCCTTTGTACATCTCTACCCATTTTTCCAGTCAAAACACAAGAGCTCGGAGTCTAACAAAGGAGACTTCCTCTCAGAAAAGGAATGAGGAAGAAAAGATTGTAAATACTTTCTCTTAATTTTAATGTGAGTTGATTTGTATATTGACTGTAACTGTCCCTCACACAGTATTTGTTACCTACCCATTTGCACTTTTTATTTAATGCACCGGTATTATCTGTGTCCTTGAGCAAATGTAACGTGCCTGGCCCTTTCTGCACCCCACAAGGAGGGTGGCGGCCTTGCCGTCTACACTGTAAGACAGTGTAGTATGGAGCTTAGGTAAATGATGAAGAAGAGGAAGGTAACGGGGATTTTAAAGTCACAGTGGGCGAGAGGAAAATGATAGCAGTTAACAAGGGAAGGAAGAGAAATGAGCGAGTTAGGAGAAATCGGACATGAGCAGGCTGAGTGCGGGGAGACCACTGGGACCTGAACTCGGAACCAGGAAGGCCAGAGCTCGAGGAGGCTGCTCTGCCTCAGTGCCGCCAGGAGACCAGAGAAGCACGGAAGGAGCCCTGTCTTTGGGGCCAGACAACCTTGAGCAAGAAAAAACTTTAGTCTCTTGGAGGTAGAACTTGGGGAGAAAAGACTTTCAAAGGGATTGTAGCAGTGAAAGTTTTAGTACAAACTGAGCAGAATTTGTGTACTTTAGGTCTGTACAATGAGCTAGACAAATACTAAGAATGTACCGGGTCTCTCACGATCGCCAGGGGTTGGGGTGGAATAATAGCAGAGGTAAAGTAACTCCCACTCGCATGCACGAGGGGCGAGGCCAGCACTAGCGCCCTTGCGGGCGCCCCCACGGCACTCTGCCTGCGATCGGGACCTCAGTACAGTACAGCAGCGCGGGCAGTAACAGTGTGCCGGCCACCGTGGCAGAGAAACGCGGGCGCTCCGGCGTCCTAGAAGACGGTCACGTGGCCACCTGGTCCAGTGTATGTAAGTGTATTTCCTGCAGAGTCAGAGCTTGCCTCTGTGAGTACGTGATAGAGCAGCCGTGACTTTTTCCGTCTGTATGTCTGGGTGCCGCAGCTGCGTATAAGGCATCTGTGTAGCTCTCTGGGCCTTGTGTGCTTTCAGACATCTTACCTGGTTTTTTTCTTAGTCATGTCACTATCATACATTTTTGTAGCTGGCATTAGTCATCATTTACTGCTAAGGACAAAGTGCTTGAAAGAACAGGAAAGGGCTGACCCTGAAATCCCCAGACCAGATGTGGCATTGGAAGAGGCCCGGCCTTTTGTCACAGTTGAATGCGTGGTGACCTTGAGGTGAAGAGGAGCCTCAGGACTCGCACCTGTGCAGTGCAGAAGGCGTGGCGGCCCTCGCACCGCCCGCCCTATCAGGCTGTGCTACCAGAGTTGCGTCCTGCCTGGACTCCATCTGAAAATGCTGTGGGAAGGGTGTGTCCCTGACTTCCAGGGCGGTGACATTAGGATCCCTTTCTTTCCCTTTCTTTGCAGGTGCCAAGCTCTCCTGATGAAATGTGCTCTGCCCCCCTGGGCTCTGGGGGCAGCGTGTGGTGCTGTTGATGCCCTTACTCGAACTTTGCAGAATGGATAGTCCTCCGAAGCTGGCTGGGGAGACCCTCATCGTCCACCACATCCCGCTGGTGCACTGCCAGGTCCCAGACAGGCAGTGCTGTGCGGGCGCGAGTGGAGGCGGTGGGAGCGCGAGACCCAAGCCCTTCCGCCCAGCCGAGCTGGGTGTCGCCCAGCCTGGACCAGACCTGGGACAAGCGGACTCCCTGCTCTACCGCAGTCTGCACTCTGCTCCAGGGGCGTCTCCGCGGCCCGCAGACAGCACCAGGAGTAGAGGCCGGGAGGGCAGAGGCCCCGGGGCCCCCAGACACAACCCGTTCTTGCTGCAGGAGGGCCTGGGTGAGCCGGGCCTGGGTGACCTGTACGAGGACAGCGTCAGGGACAGTGCCACGCAGCAGTCCTTCCGCCTGCATGGCACCGGCCAGCCCGCCTTCCACCTGTCTTCTTTCCAGCTGCCGCCGTCCGGGCCGAGAGTGGGCAAGCCGTGGGTGGCCGCACGCGGTCGAGCTGGAGTGGCGGAGGGGCAGGAGCAGGACCCAGTGACAGCCTTGGGTACCCAGCAGCACGGCACTGGCCACTGCTGCGGGCCAGAGCTAGAAGCAGAGACTATGGAGCTGGATGAGTGTGGGGGGCCCGGTGGCAGCGGCAGTGGAGGGGCGGCCAGTGATACCTCTGGCTTCTCCTTTGACCAGGAGTGGAAGCTCAGCTCCGATGAATCCCCGAGGAACCCGGAACGCCCCGGCTTGGGAGCTCAGCACTGCCGCTGCAGTAGCACGTCCAGTCAGTCTGAGGCGGCTGACCAGTCCATGGGCTACGTCAGTGACTCCTCCTGCAACAGCTCGGATGGTGTGCTAGTCACCTTCAGCACGCTGTACAACAAGATGCACGGCGGTTCCCGCGCCAACCTCAACTCTGCCCCCCGGTCTTGCAGCGACTCCTCCTTCTGCAGCCACTCAGACCCTGGCGCCTTCTACCTGGACCTGCAGCCCTCCCCCGCAGAGTCGAAGATGTCTTGCGAGTCCCACCACCCTGAAAGTGGAGGAAGGGAAGGGGGCTGTGGTTGTCCTCATGCCTCATCTCCTGAGCTGGATGCCAACTGCAACTCCTACCGCCCACACAGTGAGCCGTGCCCAGCTGTGGCTGACCTCACGGCGTGCTTCCAGAGCCAGGCCCGCCTTGTTGTGGCTGCACAAAATTACTATAGACTTGTCACCTGTGACCTGTCCTCTCAGTCGTCCCCGAGCCCAGCTGGCTCTTCCATCACTAGCTGCTCTGAAGAGCACACCAAGATAAGTCCCCCGCCAGGCTCGGAGCCAGACGCTGGCTCCAGTCAGCCGTCTGAGTATTACCTCTTCCAGAAGCCAGAAATCCAGCCTGAGGAACAAGAGGCAGTGGGCTTCTCAACAGAAGCAGCAGCCGTCGTGGGCCCCACTGTGCTCGAGGGGCAAGTCTACACCAATACTTCACCCCCCAACCTCAGCACGGGACGCCAGCGCTCCCGCAGCTACGACCGCAGCCTTGAGCGCAGCCCCCCCGTCCGCCTGGGCTCCCTGGAACGCATGCTGAGTTGCCCAGTGCGCTTGAGTGAGGGTCCTGCAGCCCTGGCTGGGCCTAGCTCCCCACCCAAGAGGGTCACCTCCTTTGCTGAGCTGGCCAAGTGCCGGAAAAAAGCTGCAGGCTCTGGCTCCCCTCCACTCCGGGTGAGCGTTGGGGACTCCTCCCAGGAGTTCTCACCCATCCAAGAAGCCCATCAAGATGGGGTGGGTGCACTGGATGAAGGCACTCGCTGCAGCCATAGCCTACCACCCATGCCCCTGGGGCCAGGCCTGGACCTGCTTGGCCCTGAACCATGGTCCACCCAGGTCTGTCAGGGCCCTCAGTCCAGTGAGACGCCACCTGCCGGCCTCGCAGCCGCTGGGCAAGGCACCCTGGCACAGCTGATGGATCCAGGGCCTGCTCTCCCAGGGAGCCCAGCCAACAGCCATACCCCGAGGGACGCACGAGCTAGAGCTGACGGTAAGGAGCTCAGATGCTGGGGAACAGCAGAATCTGTGCATGGCCCCATGACAGGTCCCTGGCAGCCGCTCCACCCACCCCATTAAAGGCGTCTCAGCCTGGATCTGGTATCCCTTCAGTCCAGGGTTTGTCTGCTGCACTAGGGTGGGAGAGGGGGAAAAGGAGAGAATCCTTAATAAGAGTGGCTTAAAAAGTACTGTATACCACAGTAAAATGAATTAAAAAAAAAAAAAAGACTAAAACCCAGCATGAAAAAAAAGTACCATACACTGACGAGATTAAGTCAGCAGGACTTAGACATCCTGATATATTTGGAGACAATTAGTCAGAAGATTGTGATTCTGAACTTGGATAACTGGAAAGATGATGGTACAATAAATAGAAACTGTAAAATCTAAATAGATTTGCTGAGTGACAAGCCGTTGAGAATTTACAGTGCTTCAGGGATGTGTCCAGCAGGAAAGCCACGCCAGGCATCAGTGACGCCCGTTCTTTGATCAGTGATGTAGCTGTTCTCCATTCTCCAATGAGCCTGAGACCTGAGCTACATGCACTGGTGCATCCTGTAGTCCCAGGCACTCAGGAGGCTGAGGCAGGAAGCTCGATTGAGCCCGGAGTTTGAGGCCAGCCAGGGCAATGTAGTGGGACTGCTTCCCCACAGAAAAACTGTGGGCTGGCCTCCCTGCGCCAGCCTTTTCTCTCCCCTTCTCAACTGTTTCATATTTTAAGCAGTTGTTTTATACCAGTCTCCATGTTAAGATGGTTCTGGTGACAGAGGGATAATGAGAGAGACGGAAGAAGAAATTCAGCTGGGAACAGAAACAGACAAGGAAACATCATTAAAATGCAAAGATGGCAGTGTATGGTACTGGCCAGTGACAAATAGCTAAATTAGACTGAAATGCCAGAGGAGGCTCTCTAACACAGTTTACATTTAAGCCCAGTTAGAAAATGATTAGAATTAGGCTTAGTAGAGGCTTGTAGAAATGTCCCAGGCTCCCAGGATGGTCTGTACAAGGGCATGGTGTGGCCTGATGCTTTCCGGGAATTGCAAGGAATTTGTTACAGGTGTTGCGGGATGAGGATGGAACCATGGACGGATGCTAATGAAGGAAGCGGCTGTGTTGTCATTTGGTTTGGCTTTTTGTTTGCTTAGTAGCTCGTTGTGATTTGCATTTTAGAAAGGTCACTGGTAGTTTGAACGAAGCGTGGGCTGGAAGGGGTCTCTCTGAAGTCCTGAGAGGCCCCCACGTGGACTGGGAAGTCATGCAGTAGAAGTGGTAGTGAAAGCTATGTCAGTGGTGCGGCCGACCAGGAGGAACATGTGGAGCCACAAAGCCAGCAAGGATAGAGCTCCAGAGATAGTGTGATGTATAAGGTGAGCAGAGCAAACCTCAAAACAGACTGAGACGAGAACCGGGGTTGTGGCTCAGCGGCACAGCGCCTGCCCGGCAAGTGCAAGGTCCTGAGTTCAATTCCCGGTACCAAAATAAAAAACAGACTGAGATTAGTTAGCCAGAAAAGTAGAAGAAATAGCTAGAAGATAGTGATGTCAGAGGAACCAAAAGAGAAGTTTCAAAAAAAAGAAGGTTCAACCAGATGAAGCCTAAAGAGAAGTTACCCAGGACAGTGGTGAGGAGTCCTGAAAGCAGTGGTCAAGGAGGCAGCGAGTGCAGAAGCCGGTGTCGGAGGGCTTGGAAAGAAAGAGAAGGAAAAGCAGAGGCAGCAGCCCCGCACAGTTGTGCCTGTGTCTTCGCAAGGGAAAGATGTTAAAAAAACCGTAAATGGCGCTATGTGCTATCTGTGCCGTTAGGGGTCGCAGCCCCTCCGAACCTCCCACTCCTTGACATGCAGAGGAGCTGGTCTTGGGGCAGAGGGTGCCAGGAAGTCCGCCGGGAAGAGGCAGAGTGAGCGCTTGGTCAGGGCCTTTGGAGCCCACCCGCTTCTCAGACTGCAGGGTCTGGTGGGCGCGTCTGATGGGGCACTGTGGCTGGCATCCTGGGGGCAAGGAAAACCCGGGTCAGAAATGGAAGGAAAGGCGTTAAAAGTGCTTTTTCTGCCAGGGAAGATTTTTCATGGCAAGGTGCTATTCTGTTATAAAGACTTCAGTGACCTACAGCACAGCTCTTCTCTTGGTTTTGTTTATTCTTTTTTCTTTTGTCATTTTATGAAAAAATAGAAGAAAATTTCATGACAAAATAAGACAGCAATAGTTAATTTGCTATGTATCATAATCTTCAAAGTAGTTAGAGTACAAGACAGACAAAAACAGACTTACAAAGAAAAAGCAAACACAACAGCTCAATTTTCTTTTCAGTGAACTGAGACTAGTATATACATGAAACAAGTTAGCATTAAATTAAAATACTTTTGAAACAACGGAATAGGTAATTTGGGAAAGTATTTGAACATCTCCCTGCTTTCTATTTATTAGGAAGGAGCTGAGAGAAGACACTGTGAGATCCTGAGCAGCAGGGCTCTAGGACCTTTTCACTGGTCTACATCCCTGGCCCTTTGTAAAATTTTTTATTTTGAGACAGGCTTTTGCTAAGTTGCTGCATTGCCCAGGCTGGGCTCAAACTTGCATCCTCTTGCCTCAACCTCACAAAATGCTGGGATTACAGGTGTGCAGCATCATACCCAGCTAGATTTTGCCATATCTTAAAAGAACAAAAGCAGAGACCTATGTAAAGTTTGAGAAGTAAACTGTACTTGAGTTGACTTGGGATAGTTAATGCACGACAAGCTTAGGAATGAGCTGGCCCCTTGAAAAGGTACGACGCTAGGGTTGCTCGTCGGCTCCAGCAGGGAACAGTGGTGGTGGTCTCCACCCGTTCACCAGCCAGTGCTTGCTGGCAGGCTCTGCCCGCAGAGTTTTGGCCATGAGACTTGGAGAAAAAACGAAGGATGTTTTGCCGGAGAAGAGCATAGCCAGATGAACACGATCTCTGCCTCCAGTTTTCTTAAGGGCTGTCACAGAATAGTGAGAAAACCCATTCTCTGTCTTCCGAGGGTAAACCCAAGACCCGCTTCCCAGAGTGGACCCCTTTCTGACCTGATTTTACTCTGCTGATCCCCCATCATGTCCCAGGAGCATAGGGGGAGGATTTTTAATAGTAGTACCAGATAGGGCCGGGGATATAGCTCAGCGGCACAAGCGCCTGCCTGGCAAGTGCAAGGTCCTGAGTTTGATTCCCAGTACCAAAAAAAAAAAAATAGTACCAGATAGTTAATTCAGACATCTTCTATATAGAGCGCGTTTGTAGAGCTGTGGTGAGGGGCCCTAATCTGATCTCCGGTGTCATCTCAGCCTGGAAATGTGGTGAAGTAAACGGAAAGAAGGAAGCCATTGGCAGTGGGGATGGTGGGGCGGGAAGAGCAGCCAGTGGGCGTGTGGTGTGGGGGGCGGAGAGCGGCCTGGCTGCCGCAGGTGCAAGCCCCCGCCTGCCTGAGTGCTGCAGACTTCGTCCTGTGGGCAGTGCGAGCCACGGAGGATAGAGCACAGTAACTGGTGTTTCAGGAGACGGGCTGACGGGCAGGGGCAGCTCAGCACGTGAAGAGACCGCTGCTGTGTGCGAGGGGATTCTGTTTTTTTCCGGTACCGGGAATCGAACTCACGACCTCGCACTTGCCAGACAGGCGCTGTGCGGCTGAGCAACATCCCCAGCCCGCGAGGCGGTTCTGGACGCAGCGAAGCCCGAACCGGGAGAACCCGCCCGTTTAAGCTCGGTGCCTGCTCTGTGCCCGGCGCTCTGCTAGGCACCGGGGGTGCAGCAGTGAGCGCTGCGAAGCCCCTCCTTTCCTGTGGCGCTCGGGAGAGCAGGCAGCGCACACATAAAAGGCAGGATCTAGTGAGGAGGTGAGGAGAGGAGGAGCCCGGGCGGGCCGTGCCGGATCGGCCGCCGCCTTCCCTGGGGAGCAGGGCTGGGTGCTGGGCTCGCGGCCGGGCGGCCTCCAGGCCGCGGCTCCCCCGCTTGATGGAAGTGAGAAAGATGAGGGGTTGGACACCGGCCTGACGCCGCTTCATGCAGCGAACGGTGCGCTAGAGAACGCGGCCGCAGAGTGGGGCTCTGGCCGCGTCGGAATTCCTGGCTGCGTGAACGTGGCCGAGCGACGTCACGTCCACATTTTCCCGGCCCAAAGAGTCCTGGGTCCCCTGCCGGGAGCCACGCCCGGGGCTTTCGGCCCCTGCCTGCTCAGGACGCCACCTTGTGTTCATTCGTGCCTGGGGCTCTGTTAGTTCTTAGCTCGGGACTCAGAGGACACGAGTCTGAAGACGTGCTGAAGGAACAAGAAGGACCCTCACAGAGAGCAGACGAGGCCTCTGAGCTTTCAGCGATGAACGGGCGGGCGGGGGGCATCCCAGGAAGGCTGGTTCTTGGCTGCGTGTCGAGTTTTTCATTATGGTTAGATTTTCTCAAGAAAGGCATAACGTTAGTGTGGGGAAGATGCGGTGAATGAGCAGAAGCTTGAAGTCAGTAGTTTCCTAGTACTGAAAATCTCTGACTCACTGTAAGACTTTAGGCCTTAGAAACAAAGAAAACGGTAGCTTTGCCATTGATAGAAATGGAAATTCTCAGCCAAGCATGGTGGCGCATGCTGTAATCCCAACACCTGGGAGACTGAGGCAGAAGGATTGCTGCAAGTTCAAGGCCAGCCTGGGCAACACAGTGAGTTCAAGGCCAGCCTGGATACAGAGCAAGACCCTGTCTCAGGAAAAAAAAAAAAAAAAAGGAAAGAAAAGAAATTGTCGGGGCTGGGGATTTAGCTCGAGGTCGTGAGTTCGATTCCCGGTCCCCCAAAAAAAATCAAACTGAAAAGAAATTGTCAGAAACATGGACAAAGATGATGGAGGAGTTATTTTAAAAGGCAAACTTAAGTGAAAGCAGAGCCCTACAGCAGAATGACCTAAAGCGCCAGAAGGCCAAGGCCATGGGTTTGGGAGTTA